GTCTAAGTACCTGCAGTGAAGTATAATGGGATGAAATGTGACTATAAAGTCCAAAGACCTGAGTTTATCTTGCTCTGTTACTGACTCTGTGATGCTGATATTCTTTATTTCTTCTGTACAACAAAAGTGGTTGAACAATGGTGTCAGTATTCCTTCCACCAATGATTCTGTAACACATCTTGACTTCTCTACTTGGGTACTCATATCCAAATTGGTCAGGTAGCCCAATTTTCTCTCACTGAGCTGGTTTATAGCCCATTTCAAGAAGGTAGAAGACTTGAATAAATGCCATCTTCAGAAAGCAAATACATTATTATCTTGTCAAACTTTTATGACATGAATAGTTGTTGGCAGAAAGTATTTAAAAATGCCTTTTTTCTTCCCCTTTAAATAAAAGCCTAATTACTAAATGTGGACTGGGATCTCCAGATTGAAGGTGAGGGAATTGGCTTCTCATCCTACTTCCACTTCTTGAATTAAACTAGGATGATAATAGATCAAACAAAATAAAAAAAAAACTGCAGATGATTTTCAAAATTCATGGATCTTACAAATATTCTCTGGGGCCATGAAACTCACTTTGGCCTTGAATTAAATTGCTTATACTGTTTCTCCCATTTTCTGTGATCATTGTTACTTCATTGTATCAGTAGTTTAAAATAAACACATATCTATATTAAGAAATATTATTTTTCATAAATTATGATTTCTGTGAACAATAAAAAAATCAATATTTGAAAGAGTGCACAAGAAAATGTGTTCAGATATACTTGCTGCTTGATTTAGGTTAGACTTTAGGAATAACTGTAAATCATTAGTAGTTAGCTCAGCACTGTCTGATGCATGTTTGCTCAGAACCTGTATTAATGTTACCATAAAGTAGCTAAAGAATGCAACTTCCCATTTCCCTTGATTTTCAGTTCAGCTACACAAAAACTTAGTGACATCTACTATGTGCCCAGGTCCTGAGATAATTCTCAGGAAAATAATGGTATAGTCCCCATCCTCCAGATTTTCACAGCCTCATAGAAAAGCAGGACATGGACATAGAGTGAAACAAGTATGATGATACTGTACAGAGTAAAAGGGAAGTCATGTTTAAGAGAAGTTCAGGGAAAGACTTCATAGAAATGGTGATTTATGAGCTGGAATTTTAACAAAAGTTCATCAGGTGAACACAAATGAAAGGCTCATGAAAGAGAGATAATGGTGTGAAATCATGGAATCTACAATAGTTATGTGAGTGTGGGTGCTTGATATTGATATAGTGTAGAGTCTGGAGAAGAGCGGGAGGTGGGATTGAAGTGAGAAAAGGCCAAATGTGTCTGTAGTGAAGAGAAAGAAGAGGCCAGGAAATGAGTCTTAACTGCCATGTGTAGGGCCTTGGATTTTATCCTTAGATGATGGATGGTTTTTGAATAAGTCACTTCATGATCAGATTTCCATTTTGGAAAGATTATTTGTAATTTAGCTTATGCAGAATGGTGTGATGAGGGCAGGATTGTACAGTAGCATGGAGACCCAGTTAAAAGAATAATGCTATAGTTTAAATGAGAGATGAGATGCTTTTCTGGTGTAAAACTTTCTATTGATTCATAAATATGCTGCCACATTTATAAATATCAGCAAATTGAAAATGTTTGTAATATTCAGTAGAACTAACTTATTCCTACTTATATAGGTTGAACTTATTCATGAAATGAATAGCAATGAAAAATTGAAAGAAGGTTGGTATTTTGTCAGTGAAATTAAAGCACTAAACTCATACACACACAAAATTTTGCTATATAACATCATAAAAATAAAGTAATGAATTTATAACATATACATATATAGTTATTTAACCTGCGAATTAAATAAAAATGTTGCTATAAGTACATATAAATTATGCATATTTGAAAACAAGTGAGTAATATCATAGGGCCTGGTGCATGGTAAGTACTCAGTAACTATTTGTTGAATTTGCATTTGATACTTGAGAGTTGTATCTAAGACTTTATATTAATTCAGGTCCTGGAATAAGTGATTTGGTATTTTAAAGCAGAAAGTTAAATTCTAAATCAAGAAAAATGAAAATATTTGTCAGGGAAAATTAAACAATCATGTATACATATAAGATTGTAATTTTGCAAAGAGAAAGACTTCAAAGATCATTGCAACTCATATAATTGGAAAAGCACATTTGAAAATAGCTTTAAATAGTCTCACAGGCTGTATGCCTTACCAATTTTCTTACCACATCTTGGTTTTGATGTCTAAATTCTTAATTCTTAGTTACCACAATAGGACACAGAATCAGAGTTGGAGAAATTAGCACATCCATAGCACTTAGAGAGTATAACTTAATATATTACTACATCTTTTCCACTTTTAACCTGTGATTTTTTTTTTTAATGTTGCTGTAAGTACATATAGTAGTACACAACTCATTATAAATGCTGGGTTATATATCCCAGAACCAAATAATGGAATAGTGATCAGTTTCCATGTGGTGGTATCTGCAATTCAAACTAATGCTCAGGAAATGGAGTCATTCCTTACTATTAGCCAAACTTTCTTTAATTTTATGTAGAGTATTATCAGTGCATAGAGTTTTATGATTGCAAAGTTATTACTCTGATTTGCTGCCAGATTACATTTCAGTCTTCAGAGATTGCATTGAGGTTTTAGGGTTTAGGATGAATTTGCTATGCCTGATTTTTATAGACAGACTTAAAAAATAATTTTAGTAGAATCTGTTTATCTTTGTCTCTTTTTTTTCTTATAATAACTGAATGTAGTTCATTACTTTGAGGAATTTTTTTTGCAAAATGTATTTTTATTTTATACTCACTCTTAATAGGTTCTGTTAGGGGAATCACTGGTGACATGTTTCAAAGCAGAGATCTTTTCTTGCTTTTTTTTTTTTTTTTTTTAACAGCTTAATGAGATTTCAGGTATATTTTAACAACTGGGGTTTCCATGATGAATCATTAAAATAAGTGAGTGGGCTGGAAGGTAATACTAACTTTTCTCAACATTGCCCTGTTTTACTCTGCTGGGTTATTGACTGCTTTTTAAATAGAATCTGGGTGGATGTTCAGAAGTGAAGAGGGAGAAAGGGTTAGTAAGAAAATACCAGGTAAGCTTCTGATGACCTATTGAGAAATACTACTGAGACTTACTTGCCCTAACTTAAACCACTTAGTGTTTGAGCTCACTGTTTTTTGCATTAGCAAGCTTAAGTTTCCAAATATTGTATGTAGGTAAATAGAAAGTTATGTTCAACAATTGAAGGGTATCAAGCCATATGCAGATTAGCCTGTGGAATCAATTTCTCATATGTGTGGGATTAAAACTGTTAAAATCATAATTCTTGAAACTGTACCTTCCTACAATTAATAATAGAAAGATGTCTGTGGAATATATTAATACAACAGTTCCTCTGATTTAAAATTATTACTGAGTGTTTTGTTGGAAAATTATTTGAATATTATTTTCATTTTGGTAACTGAGTTGACATCAGAAATGAGGTGTAATTATGGGTTTCTAATGTAACTAAAATTTATTTTTTAAAAAATGCATATCTCCTTCAGTAAATCAATGGCATAGTGCAAATATTTTATATCTATACTAAACTAAAAATTTTCAACTGCCATAGCAATTGTAACTGCTAAAAGAGATAGACAAAAATGTAGTTCACCTTGAAAATAATCATGGCTCAGGGAATAAAAAAATTGGGTCAAGCCTAAAATAAATGCAGGTACAATGACAAAAAGTTTTAATAATAATTTTAAAATATTCATAGCATTGGTTTCAGGCTACTTTTGTTCTCTGTTATTAGTGCACTGTTAGTTTTTAATTGAGATGACACTGATGGCGCATTTTCATTTTGATCAAAATGTTTGTATGAAATACTATTGGGATTTTTCAATTTGTATTTCCTTTTAATTATAAATATACATTTTTGGAAAGGCAGATGATTCTTAAGTAGATCATTTTGACTTCTGGGGAACTTAAATAGAATTTGAAATGGTATTAAATTTCTGTGTCACAGTTCTCACTTTGACTCATTTTATATTGCCAAATTTAATGTTTAGCATTTAACCATGTATCATTAAATCATAGTATTGATAATGAATTAAACTTTCATAAAGCTTTCATAGTATAGTAGATTCCCTCTCATCTGGTGTCACTGGGGAACAAAATGTGCTGAAGAATTGAGTTTTTCTGTAGCTGAAGCTTTTTTAATCAGAAAAACTTAAAAATTGATGAAAATTTATTTGAAATATTTTATTTGCTCTTTTGGGGAGCAAGAATGGAGTGATCGTTTATCCTTTTTTTAATGTCACATATCATTCTGAGTGTCATGCAGAAAAGATGTGGACTTTCTGATTGGTGTTTGTTCTCCAGCATAAGTTTTTTTTTTTTTTTTTTTTAATATTTCTTCTTTTTAAAATGCCATACCCCTAATTCTGGTATTCTAGCTCACTTTAAATCTTTCTGGGTTTAAGTCTTTGGTGTTACTTGTGAATGTTTTAACAGATTCATAAACTTAGGCACCCATATAAGACATGTGATTCTCTTCCATCTTTTGACAAACACCTAGTCACAGTTTCTTGCCATAAAGGAGACCATGTCTTTGCTTTGGAGTTTGCACTTTCCATGTTGAGGTCCTGTTCCTGCTGATCCCAAGCACTGACTCCTTAGTATGTATTCACCTTACCCACTTGTGATTGACTATGTTATCAGAGTGACCACCTGCAGTTTTCTTTGTTGCTAAAATGGGCAAATAGTGTACTCCCTTTATATTTTAGCAAATTTTACTATGCCAAAAAGTGGGATTTTTTTCAACTTCGTGCAATTTATTTGTTTCAAGTTATTTCTAAAACAAAACCCAAGCACAGCAAAGGTATTTGAACTGTTCTTTAATGTGCTGTAATGACATTTTAGTTGAATCTTATATTTAAAAATCAGTTTCCCCCTTTGCTTGCATCTAATGGGGATCATCTTTCTTCTAGGTTATGCTTCAAGGAAACGATAGGGAAGAACACATTTTCTTCTTGCTGTAAACCTTGCAATAGAAGTAAGTGGGGGAACTGCCAGGATATGTCATTCTCCATAAAACAAGCAGAACAAATTTCCATGAATCAAAGCCACTAAGTATAGTTTTCAGAGATGGTAGGACATAGTTACTCTCCCTAGAAAAATATCCAAAATGCAGACACACCCATTGGCCACCAGAAAAATGCTCAAGTAAATGCTAGTTTAAACTTGTATATTTCACTCTTCTTACTGAGCTATTAAAGGGGGTGGAAATCTACTATAGCTGTAATCTTTTTTCCCCTTTTCTATTTTTCAACCTCCCACATGCTTAGTGTTCAGTTCTGCTTACTGAGTGTTGTGAATTGAATCTATAGCAGCACCTACATGTACTGCCTCCACAATGGGTGATAGTTTGCAGATAACTTGTGATTCAGACCCATGAGAAACATCTGTAAAATATATGGCGTGATATGTACTTTAGATTAATCATGGAAAAGGGCAGAATAATGAAGAATCAGAAAGCATTGTTTTTTCCTAATATCAGTACTACTTTTCTTTGAGATTAGATGAATGAATATTCTTTAGAGTACTTTGTGCAACATTTTATCATTTGGGAAAATATGTCAGATCATTTATACAAGAGCCTTTTAGAGACCTTTTAAACGTATAAAGAGCATATATACCTTAGCGTGAGTAGGTCAGAGGAAATAAAGCAAGATAGTAGATAACTGTGATGTGATCTAGTAAGCAAATAAATGTTAACCTGCTTTTATTCTGTCTTTCTTGAAAGCTTTGATATAATTTTCAAAATTGCCTTTTATTGTTCTTTCAGTTACCTTCTAGAAGTTTCCATCATTTGAAGGATTAGTGGCTGCCACTTTGTTGAATACTGAGAATGTTTGTTAACTCATTGAACATTGCATTATTAGAGCAGAAGTCTCCAGTGGGTCTGAAAAAAAAATCAAACTTTGCATAGCTCAACCTCTGGGCTTACCTCTTACCCACAAAATCTGCAGGGCTCTCAATTCATGTTTAAAATGCAAGCTGCTAGCTGGGCTCGGTGGCTCAGCCTGTAATCCCGCGCCTTTGGGAGGCTGAGGTGAGTGAATTGCCTGAGCCCGCGGGTTCGAGACCCACCTGGGCAGCAAGACCTCATCTCTACAATAAATCAAAAAATCAGCTGGGCGTGGTAGCGCATGCTTGTAATTCCAGCTACTTGGAAGGCTGAGGCGGAAGGATCACCGGAGCCCAGCAGGTCGAGGCTGCGGTGGCCGGGAGCGGCCACTGCACTCCAGTCTGGGCGACAGAGTGAGACTCCAACTCAAAAAAAAAAAAAAAAAAAATGCAAGCTGCTGATGAAGAATGGGTGATGTCTACTTAATTTCAAACACATGTGCACATCCACTTTTCCTACCTATTCCTGCTGGGTAGAGGAGGGCCATGAAAGAGAATTACTGAATTTAAAATGCTTGAAGATTTGAAGATATTGTTTTTTCTTTAGTAGAGTAATTTATACTAATAATGGGAGGGACTGATTTATAAGCTACTTTGCCTCCCAGGCACTTTCTAATTTTATTTTGTGGAGAAGATGAGACTGAGTCCTACAAAGTTAGGTAACTTGTCCATAGTCAAACAGCTAGGAAGTGACAAAGCTGAGCTTCAGACTTGTATCTCCTTGACTTTAGGGTTTATGCTTTTTCTATCTGAGGAACACTGCTTCTTATTTTACATATAAGTGAGATACATAAACATATATAAATATAAAATAATATATAGATGTATTTGCCTCTCTCCCCCCGAATGCTCAGTGGAAAATTCAGACATCAAGAAATAAGCTTTTTGACTTTGAATGTAATTTAAGTAGGCATTACTTTGAGAAATGTAAAATGTAGTTTTATTAGTAAAGAGCATCACTGAGTCATTGAAACTAATAATTTTGTGGAACAATATTATTAAGAAAAGCAATATGCTGTTTAATGAGTGGTATTTACTTAGATCATAATGGAAAATTCAAACATCTGGAATAATTTTTTTTTTGAAAGTAGGATTTATTGAAAGGACAGAAAAGCCCCAGAGTGGGAGGGGACCAGAAGGGGCTGCCCCATATGGAATATTTTTAAATAATAGAGCATTTATGCCCAGAATGATGTTTTCCCTTATGTCTTGCAGAAAATAGCATTTAATTTGAAAGGTATCTGAAAGATTTTACATTTGTTTATTTGCATTTCTTATTTCATGTGGTTATATTTCTAAAACGAATTATTGCTTGATAGCCAATTTTCTGTGACAAAATTTTACTATGTCTTTAATAATCCCATTATTGCTACTTTATCTTTCTTAACGGATTGCTTATCTAAAGAAAGGTTGTAGAAACCTTGCTGATTCACAGATACATAGCTTTACCCTTTTTTTTGGTGTCCCTTTGGAAGGTGGAATATTGACAATTGTGGGGAAGTGATCACAGTATGTGCAATGTCTCAAGAAATTGTATTCTGAATTTTTTAACACTGGAAAATTGAGATTTATATATGCTTTCTTTTAAATATGTGTTAAATAGAAGGCATTATACCTGAATTTATAGATAGGTTAATGATAGAGTTACAGAATCAGAGAATTTCTGAACCAAAAAGGAATTTACAAATGAAGGACTCTTGAAGTGGAAGTCTTCAGTAGAAGATGAGTTCACTGTCCAAGATTAGTGCTCTAGGTCAAGTCAAGCAGGTTCTGAGGTTATGAGTCAGGTTTACAGCTAAACAGACCAGGAAGTGACTGATCACATCAGGAAAGGGCTTTCAGCTTTCTGGTTTAGGAAAAAAACTGAGTCATAGTGTAGATAATCTTAGAGCATGAGGAAAGCAAATCAGAAAAACAAAGACATTATTCCTTTTTAACATAAATGATATAAAATGTTGATTACAAAAACATAAACATTGTTGCATACTTTTAAAAAAGTGGGATAAGCCTATTTAAAATAAATAATACATGACAAGTTATTAGTATTTTCTTTCTGAATATAAACTTTGCACTTATTTTTACTAAAAAATTATATATGTATTTGAAAAGATACTCTTTTTGGCTTTTATGTTTAGTCTGAAGGTTTGGATACGCCAATGAGTATTCTTATTATTGAGGCATTCTATGGCGGCTCCCATAAACAGCTGGTGGATCTGCTCCAAGAAGAGTTAGAAGACTGTGTCCTTCATACCCTTCCTGCAAAGAAATGGCATTGGAGAGCTCGGACATCGGCTTTATACTTCTCTCAGAATGTTCCCATTAGTGAGCATTACAGGTAATTAGAGCTCAGGACTTATTTTCAGCTTGTATTTATTGTACCTATTGTCAGGATGTTGCTTCCTTGTTAACATCTTTGAAAAATTTTTCTAATTGTTGAATTGGTTATTGTGACTACAGTAGATATTTCTTTAGAGACAGTAGAGCAGTGGAGTATACTCATACTCTAAGAACGCCTGGCCAGTAGAAAAGTGGCTTTGTTTTGAACAGGTAGAATGGAAGCCCCTTGAACACATCTTCCTCCTTATTCTTTACTTGTATGTATTCCCAGTTCTCCTGATTGTTAAATTGTGCAAGACTGTTCTACTGTAGTTTACATATTTGATGTTCTTTGCCATTTTGGATCTCTGTCTATAAGACTGCATTGGTTTAGGCAGGAGTTAGGGGTGCCAGGCTGATAATGAATGGAGTTAGAGCAGACAGGTTTTTAGAGGAAGGGAATGTTGTGAGCTGCAGTGCCCACCGTGGCTCAAGCAGTGGTACCCATCTGCTACTTCTAAAGTGGACTAGCCACAAGAGAGACAGCAGCTTGTGATTTTAAATGTGGGTTGCTATTCTTAGTAGTAATTTGGGAGATTTGGAGAATAACCTATTTCAGGTATGAAAACTGTGCATCATCTCTGAGAATTTACTTTGTCAGATGAGATAGCAGTGAGGATTTAAGTCACATTGCTTGGGATTTTAAAGGTTAAATGCTGTTTTAGTGCATATTTAGAATTTTAAAATTTTATTTTATTTCATCTTAGAGTTGTGGGGTACAAATGAGGATTTACTACATAAATAAGTCGAACGCAGGTGAAGTTTGGGCTTGCGATCGGCTCTCCCCCTGATAATGGACCAGGTACCCAGTGTGTTGCCACATTCCCCCCCGCCCCCCTCTCTCCTACTCCTGACAGTGTCCAGCATCTGCCTTGTGCTCGTCTGACCAGTGGTCAGGGCCTGCTTATAAGTGAGAACATGCAGTATTCAGTTATTTGTTTCTGTGACAGTTCACTTAGTATGACGGTTTCCACCTGCATCCATTTCCGTTGCTATGAAGGCCATGATTGTGTTCTTCATGGCTGCATAATATTCCATTGCATCATATTGAGAATTTTTTATTTTTAATATCTATCTTATATACTTCTTTACGTAAATGAATGTTTTATATGCTCATATCACTAAGTGAATATTGTTGATTCACTAATAGTATGAGAAATTTCAATGTGTTGATATAAAAGTTATAAAGGCAATAATAAGACTACTGCTGTGTTAAAATCTGGCTGTTTATAGTTGCTTTCACAATTCACTTAATTGTGTTTTTGCGGCACCAATTGTACTATATTATTTAAGGTCATGTAATCCAGTTGAATTTATGGCCCATTTTCATTTAATAGCACCATTTGATATAATACATTTCTGTAGTTATTTGAACATTAAAATGAACCATTTCTATATCTGTTGTTTGATTTCATTTTGATTCTGCAGTTTTTCTGAATTACATTATTAAATTACAGATATGTGTACATAGATAGCATGCAAACAAACATTTCTGTGCTTATGACTTCCCCAGTCCCTTTGAAGCCTGAATCATTTGAGAATAAGTGTCACATGCTCTTTGAAGCAGTCTTAAGTGAGAGATGGATTTCTGAAAGATCATGATATGAAGTTTTACCTTCCGATAACTATAGCCTCCAGTGCCTAGCAGTGGTATCTGTCATCTTTCAAGGTCAGCCATTTAATCTTTGCAGCTGTGTTAATCTAATCGGACTTCACCCAGAGACATACTTCAGCAGTTTAACTTCATGGTTATTTTGACCAATGATAACTTATCTACTCTTTACCAAGTAACATTTTTGAATACTTTTGGAAAAAAATCAGCAGCTTTAAAACATAGATACTAAGGAAACAAATATGGTCATTCAGTCTTTGAAATGCAAGAATAACCTTTTGTTACGCCAGATAAATCACATCTTTGTGGAGACTTTAAAAGATATGAGAAGTTTTTGCTTTTTAGTTTTTATTATTCTTGTGCAATTGACAAATCATCAATATTCATAAAGGTAAAATGATTAAACACTAGTTGCCTACTGTGGTAGATAATATGAACAAATAGCAATGTGTCTGGTGAGAAAGACCTGGAATGTAGGTACATATGCTCCTTTTTTCAGCTTCTGTACATGTAGTTGTTATAAGGTTATTATATGAAAAATTATTATTAATAGAATAAATTCTTCATCCCGATTAATCAGTTTGATTCTGCTTTATCTTGACATCTAAAGAATACAATATGATTTACATTAGAGCTGTTCAATTTTATTATCAATTACAAAAACTCAAAAAGTTATTTTTCTCAAAAGTAGCTGATAACTACAATAATTCATAGATTATATTAAGGTGTTGCCTTCTGGAAACTTGACAAGATGCAGAAAAATGTTTCTGAATCTGGGTCTTCAGAGAAGGCATAAAATGTGTTCTGAAATGTGTGAGTCATTTGTCCCAGGATGAAGCATTTCTACTTTCTTAGACTGTACCTTAGACTAGACATTAAGGATATTTTATTCATTTTTCATTCTGCAGTATCTTTACTGAACAGAAAGAATCACTGTTATTTAAAATTATTTTTTCCACCCTTTGTGCTTACAATTTTGTTTGTTTGTTTCATCTGAGGTATTGTGTTACTGATCATTGTTCACTTAACAGCCCTTTTTCCTTGTTAACAGAAGCACAATTTTCGATGGGATAGCTAAGTACCCAGCCCTGGGAGTGAAGCGAGATTGACTTAGTCCATCATGATGATTCTATTCTCCTTTGCCAGATTTCACCTACTTTCCTTATAGCTAGACTTGATCTTTCCCCAAATTTTGGCAAATTAGAATTAAGTAGATGGTTTCTGGAGGTTCTTTCAGTAAAGTGTTTTTTGTTTTTTTTTTTAATTTTAAGAAAGCTACCACCTCTTTCCTGTGTTTGACTGAACATGATGTTTGCAACCATGTGCTGTAAGTATAAGGACAAAACACCTGGAGGGCCTTAAATGGCTGGTGGAAGGCTGCAGAGAACCTGAATTAGAGTTGTATTTTGCATAATAAAGCTACCAAGCCATGTGAAAAACCCTTTGTCTCGAAAACATTTAGGAATGTTTTGTAAAATATAACTAATTTTTTGAAGCCTATAGTTGAGCAAAGTGAGGGAAATCTGTAGAGACTTCAAACGAAGAAGGGTCTGGAAATTAGAATGATAAGCTGACTTTGAAGGTAAGATTCACACCTTCAAATTTTCATAAAGGGGACTGGTTAAATACATTGTTATATTCTTTTACAAAATGTTACTTTAGATTCAAAGGTATATGTGCTGGTTTGTCACATGGGTATATTTCTTTTTTTTTTTTTGAATTGGAGTCTCACTCTGTCACCCAGACTGGAGTGCAGTGGCCGGGAGCAGCTACTGCAGCCTTGACCTGCTGGCTCTGGCGGTCCTTCCACCTCAAGCCCTGCAAGTAGCTGGAACTACAGGGGTGCGCTACCATGCCCGGTTAATTTTTTGATTTATTGTAGAGATGAGCTCTCTCCAAGTTGCCCAGGCGGGTCTCGAACCTGCGGGCTCAGGCAGTCCACTCACCTCAGCCTCCCAAAGTGCGGGATTACAGGCTGAGCCACCGAGCCTGATTGGGTATATTTCATAATGTTGAGGCTTGGGCTTCTATTGAGCCTGACATCCAAGTTGTGAACGTGGTACTCAATGGGTACTTTTTCTTCCCTTTCCCACATTTGTTACTATTGAAATGAAATACTGTGCAACTCTAACCTGAAGGAAGAGGTTTTCTTTGTACTCTTATGGAAGGCTGTCCAAGACATATTAAGTGACAAAAAGTAAGATGCAGAAAAGTGTTATTACATGCTATCTTTGGTGTAAAGAAAGAAGTATAAGAACGAATAATGGACGAGTACTGTTGAAATGAATAAAAATAGTTGCCTGGGATAGAGTAGCAGAGGTTGTCAGCGCCCCACCCATATCCCTTGGACCTTTCCATGTACCCTGGCCAGCTTCCTACTGCCAGTATCTGCAACTCATTGTCTGAGGGAGCAGCTGCTCTGCCATGCATGCAGCAGGCTGGGAGCAGCCACCACAAATGATCCTTGCCACAAGATAAAATCATTCTGAAGTGTGTACAGGAGAGAAATCAACAAAGATTCCTAAAAACCCAGTATGTCAAGAAATGTAAACACATACTTCTAAGTGACTCATGGGTCAAAGAAGAAATTATTCATATTAAAAAACAACTGAATCATAATGAAAATATTGCATATCACAACATGGGTTATATCCAGACTGACAGACATTCTACATAATCTTTAATACACTTATTTTTAGTATTTTTGTTTGTTTGGGATATACAGGGTACAGGGCCATCCAAAGCTTGTGGCCCAGTACAGAGTTCCTGTTAGCTGGATCCGTACGTAATACTGGGAAGGAAATAATAAGAGTAGAAAATGATGAAATTGAAAGACAATGTATAATGCAAATGAGCAAACTAAAAGTAGTTATTTTGAAGTAATAAAATAGATAAACCAGAGACATAATTTTTTTTAAAAGCACAAATGATTTTTGGAATGAAAACAGTATATAACTATAGATGTAACACTGATCAATAAAAATGGAAAATGCCCTGAATTCTTTTAATACCTTTGAAAAATTAGACAAAATGGATAATTTCTTAGGAAAACATAACTTGTAAAACTTCACTCAAAATGAAATGGAAAATCTGAATGGACCTACAATCATTATAATTTTTGACTCATTAGCTAAATATGTCTACCCACTAAAATATGGAGGCAAGGTCCTTTTGCAGGGTTGGTTTGCTGCCCCATTGCCATCCTGTTTTTTTCCCAAACTTGTGTTATGTGAGATTGTCTACTTTTTTAGATTTTCTGTTTCTTGTAGCAAAATATTTTAGCTGTTAATAACTGTTGATTATCATTATGATACTCCCCTTTCCCCCATCCTTTTTTTTTAGTCCAA